CCCCAAAACCCCAAAACCCCCAAAACCCCAAAACCCCGTCATGAGATAATTAGATTGTAAAAGTAGAGATGTCTTTTTTTAAATGACTAATGTTTAAACAATTAAATTCTAAAATATTAAGAAAAAGACTTCTGAATAATGAAGAACTTTTAAAATAAAAATGAACGCATGCTGTTAAATTAGAAATTACTAGTAAATAAAGCCAGTCTTATTTTGAATACTAAGGATCATAGTAATATTTTTAGCACCTAGGCCTCATATTTGAGTGAGATCATTCCTAGTAGCGATACACCTCAATTTTCAAGAGAAACAAAAGACATAATTAAGTAAATTCTGAAGAAAAATGTAAACAAACCATCAACCAAAGCTTTACTTGACAAAATAGTTACATCTCAGAGCGTTATTAAAACACAGAAGGATATAGTCTAGAGCAATAAAGTAAGGAAAAAGAGTAAGACTCACTAGAATTCAAGCAAAGATTTATTAAGTGTCTAGGATGATGAGAACTTCTCAGTTTAAGACGAGAATAAGCAGCAAAATTATTATAATCCTTCTCTTATCAACTTAGATCCTCTCAAAAGGGCTTCTGAGGCTAACACTCGTCTAGTAATCCAATCTTAAAATTAAAATCAGACTTTTGTTTCTTCCTATAATTAAAATCTGTCCTCACTCGGTCAATTTACATACGAGCCTCAAATTATTAGTAAAAACAGCATGAATAATAATTACTCTCAATAAAACAGCATCCACAGTAATCTTGTCAGTCAATCAAATAAAATAGAACAAATGCTCAGTTCCAAGTAAAACAGTTCTGTTATTTAATAATTTTCATATAAACCAAATAAAAAGACTTCTTACGAGATATTTAAATCTCAAGCGAATCCAGACACATTTATTAAAAATTATGGATAAGGTGCTTAATCTGAATAAACTTTACCTTCTCTGATATCGTAAAAAAAAGATTTAAACAACCGAAATTAACAGAAAAACACAATCAAACTAGAAGAAAATTTGTAACAGCAACAATAATAATTTTCAACATACTCTCAAAAAAACTATCAGCAATTTAATATATGCAACTCTTAAAACAGGATCAAAATTAGGCAGAAGTAACTATCTTAATTTAGTATTGTTGATGATAAAACAAACAACAGAAATGAATAGTCATAGTTCATGATAAAAGGTCATGGATAAAAATATAACTTGATATCGAGATCAAGACCAGATTCTGTCAATTATGAAAAGGAAGTGAGTGATAGAAAACAGCCCTCTAGTATTAAGACCAAAGTGGTAAACTTACTTTAAGGAGAAAAGGTTTAAGCAATAATTGAGTCATAATAGACACCAATTATGAGCAAAAATAATAAAATGAGCAAAATATAGTAAATATAGAATGATTATACACCAATTGGCCCTCAAAAAGATAATAATCTTTCGGCTTATGGTATCAATTAATTAAAAACACGTCCAGGTACTGATGCAAAAAAAAGAAGAAATATCAATGGGAATAAGCATATCATTATTCGAGATACTTCAAGCAAAGAATAAAATATTCATGCTATAAGTTAAACTACAAATGCTAAAAATAATATATAGTAATCTGCAAGTCAAGAATCTGATGGTGAGAAAAAAGGATCTATATATATGTTTACATTTAACAATGGGGATAATCCTGTTGCAAACCTAGCAAAAAAGAGTTTTCAGGCTATTGATGATTTAAATCCTTAATTTATTGATTAGTTGAGACCTAAAAACCAAAGAGAGGATAGAAATATGAAGCAAGAAGTAAGATAATCAGGAAGTTTCCTAGGATAATCAAATCACTCACGATAACCATCATTTGAGCAAGATACTTTCGCACTTTCTAATTCTTAAAACCATGAAGTATAAGAAAGCAGAGAGTTTAACGGCAAACTATTCTCTCCAAATTTCTCTAATAATAAGCCTAAAGTTGAGTAAACTGAAGGTGGGCCAAGTGACTTTTGGACTATAAAAGATTACTTTGACTAAGATATGGGCAAAATTGTAAAATTCAATAGAATGTAGCTTCAAAATAACTCTCTAGTATTCAACCAAATACAATAGGCAGAAACTTAGGTGCAAAATAGTTAAAGTCAAAATGAAATGATAAACAATGATTTTTAATAAAGTAACTTTTTAGGTTACACGCCATTGATAACAAAAAGACCGTTCTCAATGTGCAATTAATAGAGAAAGACAAAATCAAGTTAGAAGCCAAGGCCAATATCATGTGCTATATCAAAGAATTCATTTTTACCAGCGTGCTTTTTGGAAGACCCTTCAAACTTCAGTAGTGAAAAAAATACAAAGAGATAATCGTCAGCATAACTCTAATTAAGGCCACCATCTATCCCAAAACCTTCTCAGATTTTAGAAAGAAACGAAAATTTAGCTTAGGGGAGTATTTCAAGAAATAAACCCTTGCAACATCAAGTTAAATCTGCTATTATATCTTAGCATGGATCTATTAATGATGAAGGATTTGAGCAAATTTATCCCATAAAGAATGGAGAAAAATTTAATATGATGAGTTCGTTTGAAGGTAATATTAACTACGGAGGAATACCTCCGATTCCTAAAATACCGTAAAGAAGAATACAATCCTCTAATCAATAATACAGAAAACCTGTGGTGAGTAAAAAATTCATGCAGAAGATGGTTTCTAATTAAAATGTAAGTATTAATGAAGATAATGGTACGTTTTAGAATAATAATGAAAGCTAGATGATTATCCAGAACTTTGACAAGTAGAATGATCCTGTAGCCAAGGAGACCATCAATAATTATGGGAATTTGCAAAATAACATTAATTAAGACCTGTATTGGAATTACTCTTAAGTTAAAGATCTCAGAATAATTTAGTGATGAATTTACAAAGACTTTATATTTAATCTAAATGCACACTAGAAAAATTATAAATACTTTGATTAATATTATTTTAAAAGTATTATCAATTTCCTTATTAAAATTAGCAAGTAAAGGTTTTGGGGTTTTGGGGTTTTGGGGTTTTGGGG